AGGATTTTATTAATTTTAAAAAGATTAAAATTGCCGAAACAGTTAAAAGTATACTTTTAAATGGTTATATATTTAAATAATGTGTGTTGCAAATTGATATAATAAAACTAAATATTTTTTTTACGTTTTAAGATATAAAATTATTAGTATAAAAGCTTTATTTAGTAAATGGATAATTAAAAATGAATAAACTTTCTAAAATCCATCCAATTTTGACCACAAATACTGCAAAGATGTGATACATAGTATTGAATCTATGAAAAACTAATTCATGATAGAAACTGACTTTTAAGTGTCGGCGCTGTATGAACATTACGAGTTGTTCGTTATAAGTTGGCGCGAGTCCGTAAGGGGTACCTGATTTATGTAGTTCATTGTACAAAACTTCGTGTATATATTATTTCACGTGCATAAAACGTTTCATTGTTAATATTTCATTTTAAGTACATAAAAGTTAAACAATCACATAGCCAAGATGTTCTGGGGTAAGTGAAATTACTATAAATAAAATGATATGTCAGCTTTGCAAAATTTACCGGTAAAGACTGTTTTAGAATGGCGTCGCCATGTGGTTGCAAAATACCTCGCTCCTTTTTGAAAACAAAATTTTACTGAAATATTGTAATATAAAATAACAATCTTGTAATATTCTTTTCAGGGTTAATAATGGAACCAAATAAACGATATACACAGACTGTTGAAAAATCATTCCACGTGTCAATGGCGAGTTTAGATCTTACAATAAGCGGTAAAACTGATAGATTGGTTTTGTTAAGTTTAAATTTCAATCACTGTTTTGAATTTATAAAATAAAGCAAATTAAATGATTATGAAATATGTAGTTAAAAATCGAAATTTATAGTAGTTTGAAATAAAAGTACTACATTTCAAATTTCATTTATTACAGATGATAATTGGGTACAAGTAATGTTGTGTTATGAAGACAGAAGCTATCTGTTATGTAATTTAAGAAAGAGCTCAGCATGGCAGGTACCACTTGATTTAAATTTTCAAGAGGGAACTAAAATAGCATTTACATGTAATGGTGATGGTCATGTTCATTTAACTGGTTATTTAATACCTGATGAAGATTTGGATTTGGATGAATTGGAAGAAGAAGAAGAAGATGAAGAAGCACCACAATTGGTTGGCAAGCAATCAAAGAGGAAAGCTACAGATCCCTTAAAAAATGAAAAAAATGTTAAGCGCTGCAAACAGGAAATCGAAACAGAATCATCAGATGAGGATATAGAATTAGATGGTATAAATGAAGAGAATGATTCTGAAAATTCTGAAGAAGATGAAGAGTCATTTTTAAAGGAAGAAGAAGAAGAAGAAGATACTGAGGAAGATGAGGAAGGTGAAGAAGATGAAGAGGATGAAGAAGAGAAAATAGTAAAGTCTCAACAAAAGGATAAAAAGAATAAACAGCAACAACAAGAAAAGAAGAAAGAAGATAAAAAAAAATTAGTGAATGGGAAAGAAGTAAAACAAGAGCAGCAAAATAAACAACAGAAAAAAAGCAAAGAACAAAATGAACAGAATGTCCAAAGTGATAAAAAAAAAAGAATAGTAGAAGGTGGAGTGCAAATAGAAGAAATACAAATTGGTAATGGCTTTCTTGCAAAAAGTGGAAAATTTGTGTCTGTGTATTATGTGGGTCGTTTGAAAAATGGAAAAAAATTTGATGCAACAACGCAAGGAAATGGTTTCAAATTTAGACTTGGAAAAGGTGAAGTAATCAAAGGATGGGACATTGGTATTGCAGGAATGAAGGTTGGAGGAAAACGACGCATTACGATACCTCCAGCTATGGCGTATGTATAATTTATTTGTAAATTAAAAATTTGGATATATTACTCATAGATTCTATATTGCATGCATCATAAATATCTAATTCTTTATAATTAACATGTTTGTTCCAGATATGGAGCAAAAGGTTCACCACCAGTTATTCCTGGTAACAGTACACTGATATTTGAAGTGGAACTTAGAGATGTAAAATAATCTGGGTGAATATTTGATTCTTAATAATTTGTTAAGCAATGTATAATGTATTTTAAAATAATAAACGTAACATCCTTTTTTATTGTCTATTAAAGCTTCAATTTAAAAAAAAATGCAACACAACATATCTTGTGTTACATTATACCTTTTTAGTAGTATTTTATTATAAGATGCACAGGTAATTATACTAAAATATGAAACAAACATGTATCTATGTACAATACATTTCTGATTTACGCGTGATAATGTATGTCACACTATTGATACATAGTAATAATAAACAGTATACATAAGATGACAGTACACATATAATCATTAAAAATGTTTTTATAAACTGAAATATAAAATTTGATTAATATCATTATGCAATAAATTTTAAAGTTATGTAAAGAACACTCAAGATAATTATTGTAGTATCGGGGCCTCCATACCCAAATAGGAAACCGACCAGGGAAAATAGAGAGGGAGTAGTTGGCGTAGTGCGCAAAGCCGAAGGTCCCGGATTTAATTCCCGTTGGGTCCCTCAAAATTTTTCCGTCGGTTCCTACATTATATTCATAGATGAATTTTATTTCAATGCTTTTTAATCTGTTTTCTTATTATCTTCATTATTTTTCCATGATAATGTACAAATTCCATTCTTGCATTCTTTTATTAATTCTGCAGGTTGTTCACTATTCATTACTTCTTTTTGTTTGTTTTTGAATTGCCACCATTTTATAAATAATGGTTGTATTAGGAATCTCCATATAATGAGTAGTATTGGTATAGCTACACATGGAACACACACCATATTTAAGATAATTCAGAACAAAATCTGAAAAAGTACAGGTTAAAAACATAAATGTCAAATATACATTTCTATATAACTGATGTTGTGTATTTAATATAAGGGAAAGTTGGATTCGTACTTTAAATCAAATAAATGTACCTTCTTTATTAGTATCCAAAATAATCGGGTGAATAATTAAAGGAGAAGATGGAGTGAAAGTATAATATGAAAGAATATAACCTTTATGCTTAAGTCAAGAAATATATATTAAATGTTCAACTTTATAACCGTTTGCTGTGGTACTCTAAATATAAAATCACTACAGAAATTAACGTTTTTATCAAAACTTCAATTTTGTATGTATTGGTTTTCACTATTATTATATATTATCAAATTTTTGTCATTACATACTCGTTCGTGCACTTACGTTTATAAGAGCATGCGCAATCATTGATTTTATCTAAAACAGTGTTTTACGTTTAAGCTAACTTTCTCAATCAGAAAACTTTACATATTTCTTACAATTTTATTACTGATTAATTTTAGCATAACTATGTAGTGAAAACAATTAATTTAAAGAAATGTATGTAGTTAGTAACAATTATGTTACTAAAGAAAAAGTAACTAAAGTTTGTAGTACGGGTAACACATCTACATTTGCTTATACAAATCTTTGATTGTATTATTTTCATAGTTTATTGATTGCTTTACCTATTATTTAATATCATTTTATTTGGGTATACATTGCATATTAATATTCATACATAAGAACATGGTCACAGCCACATATTACTAACAGGATTTGAATCCTGTTAATTTTACTTAGCGGTACAAGGTACTAAAAAATACATAAAACAAGTGTCAGTCAGGACTTTTACTATGACAGCCGTTACGAGAGTATTCTGATTAAATAATTATCATTTATAATGTATAAACTGAATTACATGCTTCCAAATACTTTGCGACCTCTCGTTACAGACAATGAGACAATGACGACACTTAAAACGAAGAAGACTAGTCCGAAGAAGGCGGTTAGGGCTTTGCACCATTGCCGCTTGCGTTTTGCTTTTGCAATCACACGACCCAAGCGTTCTGCTCGTGAAACATCAAGCGTGAAATCTAAATCTCCGGCGAATCCTCGCATTCGATAATCCCAGTTATTTTTGTAGGACGTGAAGACTATACCTTTGTTGAACGAATCACCGTCACTGCACTCCAACTGCTGAAACATCAGTCTTGATACGTTGGTTACATTGACATTGTGAATACTGCTATTTGCACCTAACGTTGTTACATGCCAGAAAAAATGTACATTACATACAATGGCTTTATTGCATGAAAGTAAATACTTCTAACCCTAGAGAATTAACTCTTACGTAGGTCTACTTGCAAGAATGTGTGTGTGCGTGTGCGCGCGCGCGTGTGTGTAGTAATGAAATCGTCTAAAGCATAACAATATACTTTGAACTACATTTTATAGACTTACCATTGCATATTCTGAGTCGTTAGAAATAACTTTATTCCGATTCTGCTTGGTCCCTTCATTGACATTAATCATTTCTTTTATATCACTCTTAATGCAACGATTCGCATATAAATTTTGTATCTTCCCATCAAGAGAATTTAAACGGTTTAAACATTTGCAAATGTTTAATTCGGATGCACTTTTATTGTTCTGCAGTGCTGATTCCAAATTCGTATTTTGATAATGATCGTCCACCAAAAGTACAACAGGTGGACTTTCTTTCTTTTCTAATTCATCGCTTGTTTCGGTCTGTTCATCACTCTTCGAGGACGATTGAAATTTATGAGTATGTTCACAAGTACATAGGCAAGTATACCATGCTGGATTATGTAAATAAAAATGTCGAGTATTATTGTAGAGTTTCGAGTTTACTGGATTGACTTTCGATGATGAATTTTTACTACAGCTCAACAGACACGAATTTTTCTCGCTTAAGAGTGATCGTTTGCTTGGTGAGAAAGAGGAATTATGATAAACATACTCGTAGAGTCCCCCTTTCAATCCAATTCCTTGGGCAACCTTATATGAGATATTGTGTAAAATCTCTTCTGGTGTCATAGCGTTTTTACCTTCTATCACAGAATTCAATGTTCGAGATAATTCAAGGAGGACGTCGTGTGCTGATGTGCCTGCAGATTTTTCATAATCCCAATCACAGTACGAATAGGAGTATGCGCAACCGCATCCGCAGCACGCGTACAAAGCTATTATAAATCGCAACATTCACGTGTTTTAGTACTATTACAACACACGAAAAGAATCTATCTGCTATACAAAAATATCCATACTCACTATCGTATTCGGGACTTTCATCGCTATGATAAAGTTCGCGTGGACTCGGAAACACAGTTGGCCAAATAGGACGTGGGATTGCATCGCTTTCGTGAATTACAGGGAGTCCACCGCTAAATTGATCCTTTATTGTCAAAGGTACACTTCGAAAAAAACTCTGACCAGGGACTGCTGATGCGTAACAAGAATAAGAACCAGCTGATAATGGTGGAGAATGGCTGGAATAGCCAGAACTGGTCGAAGTTCGACAACATCTTCTTTGATTATTTCGCGTGGTTGTCGTTGTTGCTGTCGATGAACCTGTTACGAATCTTGAGACATCAGCCTCTATCGAGTCAGCTTCTATCCTGAGAATAATTTAACGATAATTTATATTTCTAAATGTAATTTATGTGCTATATTATCATAATATATATGTACATGTACATAATGTATGTAGAAAGGAATTCCGTTTACCATTCTATTTCGTGTAAGTCGATTCGCGGTACAGCGTACAGATTATCAGGATTGCATGTGTACCGCTCATTCGGCAGGTGTAAAGACAACTTGGTACCCTCACTATCAGGGTTAGTTTGGTTTTCACCAGAAACTGCCAAGGCCGTTGCGATTGCGGCACTGGAACAAAATTTCTCGCGTTCCAGCATCCCCTGTTACGGTCCAACAGTATCACCTATGATAAATTCTCGATCTACATTTCCAAATATTTATCGTATCCTCATTTACAATACATTTACAATATATTTATTGTAATTTGTGAAAATAGAAAATGCTCAACTAACTAACTCTATTATACAAAGAAATATTTATTATTTATCGTTTCGATACATTGTCATCGATCGATGTGGAAATACATTATAAGAGAAACAATTAGTGAACACTTGGCGAGTTTCGTTCAATCATTTAGTACCATGCCTCTAAAGCCTTTTATAAATAATTATTTTACTTGTGTTAATACGTTTCGAATTAATGTAAACTGTTAAGTATATCATTTTAGTAAATTATTTAGTAGATATATGTATATATGTATAGATTATGTACAAATTTATGAATTCGCACCCCGATGGTTCGTGGTTGATGATGGTGTTACCGCATGGGTTAGATGCAGGTTCGTCTAGGGCCAGTAACCACCGCTGCATGCTCTCCTTTTAGAATGCTCGACCGCGGACAAAAAGCCGCGCGCTTCCATTCTCAAGTTCCTTGATTCTCATCAACATTTCATCACCTTTCTTTCCCCTTCCTGATACAGTACTATCGTTGAAAAATATAATATTAATATTAGCCTTTATAATAAACGACAAATGTAACCGATTTTCCCTTTTTATACATTTAACAATTTTTTACCAACGGTAGGTATTGTTTTCTATGCCTAAACATAATATTAACAAATCTCTTTTAATCGTACAAAAACCTGACTATATGACGATCATAAGTATTCATAACACTACTATCTCAATGATCGTCCACACTCTGTGCATATAAAATTTCTAATTATAATTTATCATCTTTATTTACACACACTGGTTAAGGTTTCGTTTCAATACAAACTCATTTTTTTCAATAGATACATTTTGCTAAACACTTATCGGACGTGTGTCGTTTAGTATTGATGCGATGGATGATCCAGTGTTTCAAGGTCGCTTTCACATTCGTCATGTTCACGTAAGAAATTGGACAACGTAAAACGAGTATTACGTTATTCAGGACATTCCTTGCAGGCCAGCAAAAGTATCGCATAATGTCACGTTTTTGCATTGATTAACGTTCGATTAACGTCTTTTTAAATAAAAATCTCCAACAATCGTATATAAACTTCCATCGTTATAGTAGTCGAAACAAAAAAGAAAAAAGAAAAGAAAAAAAGGACTACATATTACATAAAGACAGAAAGAACAAAAAAGGTGATACATCTCAGGTATTACGTTCAAATATTAATAATCGATAATTATTGATAAAAATAAATCAATAAAAAGATCGATAATTCTATCAGTGTTTGTGAAACTGTACAAAATAATCGATTACTTTTACTCAAAGTGACACATTATAATGCAAACGATCACGACACGGTTGACTAATATTTCACAACTATGCTTTCTTTTACAATTTACACTGACAATACATTTAGCCATAGCTTCGGACAATAAGCGAAGATTAAAAGAACACCGGGCAAAGTCCAGTATCTGATGCGTAAATTGATCAACACGATACGATGCATCAAAGTGTATATACCCCAGCTATTTATACACATATACATACATACAAGCATGGTACTCCAATTACCTAGTACCATGGATCAGCGTACACACCGTAGCGCCCAGCACTCCGCATTCCGCCACTTCCAGTTGGTCACTTTCACGTCGCTATAGCCCGCTGCTCGATGTTCACGTATTACACGGTGCACCCTGGAATGTCGATTGACGTTACAAAAGTCCTGTGCTTGGAGAAGAATGTGACTCGAGCCAGAAGCTCGATATTACACAGATACGTTATGTAATCGAAGAATTTCTGTATCAAAATCGTAAACAATAACTCGATGGATACGTGTAATAAAGTTAAAAAGAGGGAGGAAATAAAATAGAATGAAAAAAAAAATTAAAGGAAAGGAAGATAGAAAATAAAAGTTCATCGAATAGATCAGCAAGAGTGAATTTTTCTCATCTGATGTTTAACATTTTATAACGATTCTAACAACTACAATATAACGAGGATATTTTCTCTTCTTTTTTTTTTTTTCGATCATTCGTATCCTTTTATCCTATCAAATTTTAATACTAACGACAATTATAATTGTTTCCAATCTCATCTGAAATCTATACTTTACCCTTCTAGTTTGGCGTCGTTTTCCTTCTTTTTATTTGTTCTTTACATTTCTGCGATTAGTTTTCGAACGATAAATAAGACGGATAAATTGATATTGCTAAAGAGAGCATCCGCATGAGAACTATTTATAAATCGCATTCACTGTTTAAAGAAGCAAGCACGAGAGGCGTAGAAACTTATCTTATAGGAAGCTCGTACATACGAGGTGGTCCACAAAACGAAGTCGCAAAAAATATTTAACTCACGAACTTTCACTCGCACTTATTCAGGGCCGTCCCGTGAAAACGCACCGCCCCACAGCTCGAAAATAAATACCCGACCCGCTACTCCACTCCGTTACGCTACTCTACTACGTTCGAAAGGAGCAAACTTGTCCTCTTAGTTGACTAACAGAACCGAAAAAAAGATTCACTTTCACAGCATCGAAAGTGATGTACGTAATTTCTAATTCGATAGATCCTTCTCCTCCTCCTCATCCTCCACCTCTTTATTCTTCTTCTTCTTCTTCTTTTCACAAACCAGCTATCCTTTGTAATGCTACCGGAGATTCATTTGCACATTAAGGCAATAGATACTTGAATTACGATGTGATTCGTACACAATGAAAACATTTCCATGACATTGGATTACAACGTAAAATTTGACGAATTAAAACTTTGTTTTTTTCTGAAACACGTTTTTCCTTTTTAACGAATCACATTTGTTGAAATCAACGATTAACAATAATTATTTGAAGATCCTGTCGATAATAATGATTGAACATCATTTCATGCAAATAAAAGTACCTACATACAATAAAATCAATTTTGAGGTCACCGGTATGTAGGGCAGAGATTCATACGATACCGGTAAGAATTTTCTTTCAGAGGTACAAGAAAGGCTAAATAGCCCCGGGCAAGGCACAACTTTCATATATGCAGATTCATGTTTCGTATCATTGAACGGACAAGAAGTTCGCGTTGGAATTGGCTAAATGGCCAGAGGACAAATATAGCTTTTCTTTTCGCTGGAGAAAGTACAAAAATAACAATTGCTTCGCGGCAATGAGCGTGCCCGTATATTCACCGACAGCCAAGGATTACGTCAGTTTTGCTGGTCCATGCGTGTGCGTACGTGCTTCGACAGCCAACGCGCGACTCATTACCCAAAGAGGTATACAAAGTGATTTAGCTTCCTTCTGACCAAAGTATTTCTTACTTTCTGCATTTCTTCTCTTGATCAACAAGTTTCCCCGGTTCACTCTTGTTAAACGATTCGCTCCCTATTTTATTTTTGTATTCGTTAAAATAGTTTAGAGAGCTAATCATGGAAATATTATTGTACAAGATTAGATTAGGTTAGGTTTAATTAATAAAATGTAACTCGATGTGATATTAAAAATATTGAAAATTAAGTGTCGAAAACAACTAATTCAATTGAATAACATTTCTAAGGTTCAGTCTGAATAACTGAATAATAACCATCGATCGATAACGTTGAGCACTAAGAGGTACGTTTAAAATTTATTCAATGAAAACAATACGTAATATCGACGCAAGAAGTAACCGTTACCTCGAAGTAATGATCAACAGAGCAAAACTAAATTACATGGCGCCTCCGTTTACCTTCATCACTCCCCTTCCAAAGCCACAATGTACCACTATACACCTTGAACGACTACCTGTTTTAATAAACGCATGTAACTGTTTTAAATCCTTAACCAGGATGATAATTTATGTTCCATCATACTTATTCATCAATTGCTGATATAAATTGTCTACAATGTTTCAAACATAATTTTCTAATGAAAAATCATTGTGTTGTTGTATTGGAAGAAGGGGGAAAAATAAAGAAAAAGAAAAAAAAATAGTAAACAAGATTCGATCGAAATCGAACGTTCTTTACTTCAACGATCATTATGAAAGTTAAACGTGAATTGGCAAAAATTACATTTCACTTTCTAAAGTATGATTTCAAATCTTCTCCGTTCATTTGATCGTTTCATAATTCAACTGGTGAATCATTGATAAATATCTTTTTATGGTATCACTTAAAATCCTTCAACTTTTACCTATATATATCATTGATCGTCACATTACACAAGATAGTTAAAGTTTTTAGCCGTATCTGCAAAACATAAAGACCAAACAATCGATTTGGGGTATAAAAGAGAGGAGAGCAACGGATCATGAAAGTGAACGACCAGAATTCCTCCGGAGGACGCGTTCAGTGGTTGAGAAAGATCGACTGTGGACAGACCCTGACTTTTCGACCCACGGCGCGATGACTCGTGGACCATTGATCGTCTCATGTTCTTATATCCTCGTCCTTCGACTCTAACATATGGCCATTCTGTCGAGACTCACTCCGTTTCGCAACCCTCGTCACCAAGTGTCGTGCAATGTACTCGCAAATCAGTAATCAAAACTAAAAATTTTTCTCTTCTCTCTTCATTTGAATCGAATACCTATCTCGTATTTTTTACTTCATCGCAAAAATTTATATACTTTAATCTCTTAATTGTTAGAATGAAGTGAATTAAGAATACAATCAACGAAGTAGCTGGCACTGCGATTATTATTTATATTATGTACATTGTGTGTAACACGTAACGAACCATAATATTATAAATAAAAAGAATCATCTGAAGATACCGCAAGCACAGTTTTCAATGCACGATTATAATAAAATAACATTAATAGTTTCTTAATTTAAATGTTTTAAATAAAAAAAAAAATGGAACATAAATCTTCTTAGAATCCTACTTTATCAAGCAGAACATAGAGCAATTGAAACGAAACATAAAGGTATGTTTTCAAGTGAAGAGGTACAGATACAAAAAGAAGTTATTGTAACAATTTATCATAATTTTCCTCGCAAGTGCATCAGTGCAGGTGTTCTCGTGATACAAGCAAACATGATGTGCTATTAAAACACAAAATAATGTATACACCGCTTAATCATTATTGGTTGAAGCTTTTAATCATTTTATTAATATGCATGAAGGTTCAACGAAAGTTCATTACTTATGTATTGAATCCAAGCTTCATAATATTCGTATACAATTTAAAGAAAGTTAAGTCTTCGTAAATGAAACGTTTCGTTACTATAACATAAATGATTTTCACAGAAGATAGCACCTTAATAAATACGATTTTGTTTTCACTGAAAACGAAAGCCATGCCTCTAAACGTTCATTTCCTTCCGTTACATGCATGGTTGAACATAGTATTTCATAATCGTGCAAAAAACTAGAATTCAACGCTATTTGCTATTCGAGGAAGCTCGAGGAAGAAAAAGCAACAAAAGGAAGAATATCTTTCTCTTAATGTACACTATAAGCAATATTAAATAATTTAATAAAAATATAACAAACAATGAAACTAATATTCGATATATTAAGATAAAATACTATGTGTATTACGATTAAATAAAAGTTCAGACTGTTCATTCTGTCTGAAAATTCGCACATGCTCCGAAATACCTGTATCTCTGTCTTCTTCCTGCGTCAATTAACTTTGTGCACGGAGGAGGCTGGGCGCTCGGGAGACGAAACTTTCACGCGCGAGCCAGCGCGACCGTTACACTCACGATGCTGCACACGCGGACGCCCAAAAGAAACTGAAAGTCCCGTTTCTTCGTCGCGTAAACTCGACCCATTCGAACAACCGTGTGCCTCAGGTGTGTTGTCACGACCAAATAAGCAACGAACAGAAAAATTTCTCGCTCTACCTGCGAATGAACTTATTCAAATTAATTAAAAACAAGAAAAACAATAAAATTGCAAAATTTGTTTTCAAATATTTCTTATACCTTCTGTAATCCTCCTTAGGTTGTACACATTCCTCGCATTTTGTTCAATTCTGGACGTTTCGAAATGAATTTGATAAGAATGGTGATAACAATGCGGTTTTAAGTTAACGATCTTGTATAGTGAAAATAATTACATATTTGCATTGTATTTATTATGCTGTAAAATTGAAATAAATAAAGTTGGTTTACGTTTGCGATGAAATATTGAAAAAAAATACTTGTATCAATTGATTTAATTGATAATGAATAAAAAATTTTCTTAATAAAAAGTAACAAGGAAAATGTCTATTTTACATTTAATGGTGTACCTGATGACTATATTAGTGTATTGCCTAACTTAATTAGAAATTAGGCCGCATTGTAAGCAGTGATTCGGACAAGTTTTGAATTACTTACCGAAATTTAAAACTAGTCGATAATAGTTACTCTTTCGATAGATTTGATAATCGATTATCCCTTTCGATAGATTCGATAATCGAGGGAAAGCATTGAAAGTAGAAATGAACACTAGTGAAACTTGTTACGACAAAGTATAAATTTACTGTTGTAATGGCCAATTTTACTGAAGATTTATTTGACGTTTTTGAAGAAACAGAAGACATAATAGAAGTGCCTTTGGTTACATATACGGAAGGAGATTTAAAAGCACCGTTCAACGAAAAGTAAGAATAAACTACCTTCATAATCTCTCCGTACTATAACCTTAAAAGTGATCTAAAAGAATGTTTCCCCAAAAAAAATAATGCACATACAGGAACAAGGATGCAGAGAGTGGGACTAAACGGGAACATGAAAATGACTCTGACGAATTAATTTATAAAAAATTACGACCTGATCCAATATTAGAGGATTTAAAGTAAGATACAATAATTATTGCTTTTTTAAACCAATATCTTTACAAGACTTATTTGAGTTGTTTTATCATTATTTTAAAAAATGTATGTGTATTTTTTTAATTTACATAGTATAGAAGAGTTGGCACCACGTATAAAAATACATACAATAGAAACAATTGAGTCATGTACACATGAAGTTGCGGTTCCACCAGATTATGAATATGTGCCACTGGAAAGTAAACAAGGCAAACCAGCTAAAGAGTATAAATTTATACTAGATCCTTTTCAAAAAGAAGCAATATTATGTATTGAAAATAACCAATCTGTATTGGTTTCTGCACATACATCAGCTGGTAAAACTGTTGTTGCAGAGTATGTATAGAAATATAAATAAATACTAAATAAAAAATAAAGGCAGCTATTAGGAACCATAGTTGTAATTGTATATAAAATTTTACAGATATGCTATAGCATGTTCATTAAAAGACAAGCAGAGAGTAATTTATACAACTCCCATAAAGGCATTAAGTAATCAAAAGTATAGAGAGTTTTATGAAGAGTTTAAGGATGTAGGTTTAATAACTGGAGATGTTACTATTAATCCAACTGCTAGTGTGCTTATCATGACTACTGAAATTTTAAGAAACATGCTTTATAGGGGATCTGAGGTTTTTTTCAATTTTGTTATATATACATATAAGTAGTAGCCAGTATAATGATAGTAATTTAAATAATGCATATAATATTTAGGTAATGCGTGAAGTTGGTTGGGTAATTTTCGATGAAATTCATTATATGCGTGACAAAGAAAGAGGAGTTGTATGGGAAGAAACATTAATATTACTACCAGACAACGTACATTATGTATTTCTGTCTGCTACCATACCTAATGCCAGACAATTTGTAGAATGGGTTGCACATTTGCATAAGCAACCATGTCATGTCATTTATACAGATTATAGACCAACACCCTTACAACATTATATATTTCCTGTTGGTGGAGATGGAATCCATTTGGTTCGTAAAATACACTAAATAAGTTATTTATAATCAAATCAAATAATTATTATTATTAATATATAGGTTGTAGATGAAATGGGACAATTTAAAGAAGAAAATTTTAACAGAGCAATGGCTTGTTTGCAACATGGTGATGCGGCTAAAGGAGACACTAAAGGTCGGAAAGGAGGCATTCGTCCAGCAAATGCTGGACAAACGAATATTTTCAAAATGGTTAAAATGATTATGGAAAGAAACTTTGCTCCTGTAATTATATTTAGTTTTTCAAAGAAAGACTGCGAGATATATGCAATGCAAATGGCTAAATTAGATTTGAACACAATAGAAGAAAAGAAGTTAGTAGATGAAGTATTCAATAATGCTATGGATGTTCTTAATGAAGAAGATAGACGTTTACCACAAGTTGAAAATGTTTTACCACTTTTAAGACGAGGAATAGGTATTCACCATGGTGGACTTTTACCTATTCTTAAAGAAACAGTAGAAATATTATTTGGTGAAGGGTTGATAAAAGCACTCTTTGCAACAGAAACGTTTGCAATGGGATTAAATATGCCCGCTCGAACAGTTTTATTTACAGCATCGCGAAAATTTGATGGTAAAGATTTTCGTTGGATTACATCTGGAGAATACATACAAATGTCTGGTCGAGCGGGTAGAAGAGGTTTGGATGAAAAAGGTATAGTAATATTAATGATTGATGAACAAGTGAGTCCAGTCGTTGGTAAAGCAATTGTACAAGGAAAACCAGATCCTATTAATTCAGCATTTCATTTAACTTATAACATGGTTTTAAATCTTTTGAGAGTCGAAGAAATTAATCCGGAATATATGCTTGAAAGAAGCTTTTATCAATTCCAAAATCAAGCCTCTATTCCAGATCTATATAACAGTAAGTAAATTGTCCATTTATTTATTAAATATTACAACATAGAATACAATACTATTTTCAAGAATCATTACAGAGGTAAAAGAATTGCAAGCTGCATATAATGCAGTGACTATTGACAGATATAATCAAATATCTTCCTATCATGATATACGTGAACAACTAGAACGCCTTAGCACTGATTTTAGATCCTTTTTAACAAAACCAGAATATTTACTTCCATTTTTACAACCTGGAAGATTGGTAAAAGTATGTATTTATATATATGTTATTTACATGTGAAAGTAATTGTTTTTTTAATTATATTTGTTATTACAGGTGAAAAATGAAAATGAAATGTTTGATTGGGGTATTATTGTAAATTTCAAAAAGAAAAATCCAAAAAATCCAGCAAAAGAAAACACTGTTATTATAATTGATATTTTACTTCACATTTCTAAAGAATCTAGTGAAGGATGTCCAGTACCATGTCGTGAAGGAGAGGAAGGTGACATAGAAGTAGTCCCTGTTGTACACACATTAATTTCTCAAATTAGTTCACTTAGATTGTACTACCCAAAAGATTTAAGACCGTCCGACAATAGAAAAAGTGTATTAAAAACGATACTAGAAGTAAAGAAAAGATTTCCAGATGGACCACCACTGTTGAATCCTATTACAGACATGCGCATCGAAGATGAAGCTTTTAAAGATATTGTTAAAAAAATTGAAGTATTAGAAGAAAGATTATATGCTCACTCTTTACATAAGGTGAAACAATTATCTTTTGATCCTGTGTTTTTTTTTCTTTTTAGTTAATTTTAATGCTTCTATAATGACAGTAAATCTTCTATTTTCTTTTAAAATAGGATCCCAATGTAAATACTCTGTATGAACAATTTTTGCACAAAGAAGATTTAAGCAATCAATTAAAACAAGCTAAATTAGAATTAAAAAAAGCAAAATCAATACTTCAAATGGATGAGTTGAAATGTAGAAAACGAGTGTTACGAAGATTAGCTTATTGTACAGCATCAGATGTTATAGAATTAAAAGGCAGAGTAGCCTGCGAACTTCATGGAGCTGACGAATTGTTAATGACAGAAATGATTTTTAATGGTTTATTTAATTCTTTAAGTGTACCGCAAATGGTAGCGTTAATCAGTTGTTTTGTTTGTGATGACAAATCAAACGAAATGCCTAAAAGTACTGAAGAATTGAGTGGCCCACTCAGACAAATGCAAGATTTAGCTCGAAGAATAGCAAAAGTATCTACAGAAGCTAGTCTAGAATTAAATGAAGACACATATGTAGAAAGATTTAAACCATATTTAATGGATGTTGTATATGCCTGGTGTAAAGGAGCTACTTTCTTACAAATTTGTAAAATGACAGATATATTTGAAGGTACATTTGAAATTGTCGTCTCCTTTTCTTTATTGAAAAATGTCTTCATATTTAACTGTTTGTTATTAATTTAATTTCAATTAAATCTAGGTTCAATTATAAGATGTATGCGTCGTTTGGAAGAAGTTCTTAGGCAATTATGTCAAGCAGCAAAGAACATTGGAAATACAGATTTAGAAAATAAGTTTAGCGAAGCAATTAAACTTATAAAACGTGATATTGTTTTTGCCGCATCTTTGTATTTATAATAAAAATTCTCATTAAATGCTTATTGCAATCATGGTAACGACAAACAAAAGGCTACTTTTGTTTGAGGTTTTTGAAATGTAATTTATTTTTATGAATTTAAAATATACAATGCACATGCATGGAAAGGACTTTTTTATAATATAAAACTACATTTGTCGTACGAATGAATAGTACGAAAAAATACAGCATAAAAATGTAGTTGCACATAAACAGAACTCATACTAACTGATAACTATTCAAAACTTGTTAAATAAATAACACTTTCCGAATATTGCAATGCTTAATTTCTACATTTTAATTTAATTACAAGTTACTTATCGTTCTTCTAAAATTACTGTTTCTTGAGGACAGAATTTTAGATCCATGAGAGTGAGTTTTGAATCCATGGATGTTAACTGAAACAAGTACAAAAATATATTTGAATAATTTTTAAGCTTACCAAGTATTTAAATTTATTATCAGAGTTGACAGAAAATATATAAAATTTTTTGTTCATGTTTTATTCTGAGTTGAAAACATATTTATGTAATAAGAACTTAAGTGCTTACATCATCTACTTACATCCCTTCGAGGCCAACTACACAGGACTTTGTATTCTTCTGTTGGGTAACCTTCCACAATGAGGAAATTAAGAAGTGTTTGTAATGGTGTATCAGATTGAAATCTACGCTCCAGAAATTTGCCAGCTGGTAACCGCACTCGTACTTTCAGCACTCCATCACTAGTTCCTTGTTGTGGCTCAGGAGGTAAACTCGATTCTACGGCCTGTCTATGAGCTTCTTTTCTCGCTTTTTCAGCCAACCATTCATTTTCAGCCTGTTTTTTTCGTTGTCTCTCTAGTTCTTCTTGCATTTGTTTTGCTTCTTCTTTCGCTCTAAAATTATATATTCCTTAATAAATTATTATTTACATTTATTATTTTTATTGTACCTGTCTGCAGCTAAACTTTCTTGATATGCTCTATCTTGTTCTTGTTTTACTTTTTCTCTAGCTTGTCTTTCTTCTTCAACACCAATGTCGGTGCGTCGTTGTTCCTATTTTTAAAAAATAAAAATTTGTTACAGGATATTATATTAACATCATATACTAATTTCGTAAAACGATGTTTTAAATTTTCATTTACCTGGAATACTTCAACAACATGAATTAAATTAGTTAATAGTTCGTTTACTCCCACATTGGCATGTATTATCGTAAACATTTCGGTATTGGATCTAGTCCTCATTATAATTACAAGAGCTGGTAAAGTATCAACATCTATGTTTTCCATAGCTAATGTTGCAAACGATCCTAATGTTTGTTTTACAGACGAAAGAAATCTGTAAATTAAGAGCATTTTATTTGAGAGAGATCTCATGTTATAAAAAACTATCTATTACAAATATACCTTTGCTTATTAGATTCAAACGTAATATCCCAACCCCATACAATGAAATTTGCAGATAAAACTTGGAGTACTGCTTCACAACTTAATAACTCTGTGCAAAATACATTTGCTAGTATACTATTATCATGATGTAAATATACAGCTAACAATTTTCTCTGTAATGTCATAGAATTATAATATTTTAAATAAAGTACTGGTTAAGACCAAAAATTTTTTATTAATTACAAACCTCTTTTGCTGGCTTTAAACATGATTCTTTAACAGCATCTTTAAATGTACCAGTAAAAAATTCTGGATGGGCTAGCCCATATCGTTTTTCAAATTCTTCTGCAAAATGTATAGTGCCTATTGTTTCATCTGTTACATTTTCCGGCACTGCAAAACAATTACTTATTTAGTATTTAAAATAACAATAATATTTTAATTATATACATTATTATTGTTGTTAATAATTAAAAATCAAATGTCCAGAATGTAATGTACTTACTAAGACGCTGAGTTTTTGTAGATCTGACACTATCCACAAAAATTCCATCTTCTATATCATCATCATCTATAGAACTGTCACTCTCAACTAAGTCTATAACATCCTGAAAGTAAAAAAATACAATTTTATTGTCACATATATTGATAATATAATTGATAGTACCTTTTTTTCTTCTTTCATAGGAAGTTCATTAACAGATAAATCATGTTCTGGATATGAAATTCCACTTTGGGCTAACATAACATTATCATTTTTTACTGAATTTGGCCAACCCTTCCATTGCTGATTTCGAACTGGAACATCTATTAGTGAATAAATGCCAGATTTTACATCTAAAATTGTAGTTGTGCCAAGATACTTCAAGTTAAATGTTTTTTTGTGTATTTCATCTTTAATGTTTAAAGTATATGTTTGAGTCATTCGATTTGATACGCTCACACTGAAAAAATAATAAATGGAATTATATATAAAATAAAAATATTTTATATATTTAAATTTACTTACATATCAGTTGTTAGATCAACATCTTCTGTTACAGGAGACATATATAATGTGTTTTCTTTAGGCAAATCTAATGATTGTAATGTTGTATAAAGTGTTTTGGGTTCTTTTTTCCATCCATAAACACGTTGTAGGCAAGGTGGAACTTTTGTTTGTTCCCATATAAGCTGTTTGAGATCCTCTAAAAAAAATGCATATGTATACAATTTTTATTTTTATTATTATGAATAAATGGTACAACAAAATTCTAATCACTTACTGAATGATGAAAGCTCAGACAAATTTATTTTATATTCATTATTAAGATGATTAATATAGAATGTGAGAGTTTTTTCTTTTGCACAACTTTTAGGTTTACTTGTTCCTGGTTTTGAATTTTCTGTTACTTCCATTTTTGAATTACTTTTAGAACCACAAACAGTTTGAGATGGCAATGAAGATGAATTATGCATTTTTTCAAATTCTTCTATCATTTCTATATCTGGACTTGTATCAGAAGGCAATGGTTGTGTACCACGATGCATAGTTTGATTTACTGCTGCCTACATAGTAAAATACAATATTCTTTATATTCTACATCATTTTTAAATATATTGAACAAATGAAGTTACACAAGAAATTTACCAATAGATCCCAATTTGATTCTTCTAAATATTTAATAGCATCACCAACATCATCAATTCCTGTACATGCCTAAAAAATATCACATATTTACTTATGCTGAATATAAATAATTAATATAAGTAGCAATATAAAATTAATTTTCAAACATATTTTAGAATAATCAATAGCAAAGTTATTGAAAAAAAGTTTTTTGTGATTTTGATTGCATAGTCTTTTTTAACAGTTTCATGACTCATAAACACAATAGTGTAAAGACAAAGAAGTTAATATACACACGAAAAAGCCGTTTAGAAATATACGCTATCAAACACCAAACAATATTACTTAAATGATCTTATATATTTTTCAGCATCGTTGAAATTTTGACAAGTCGAAGATAAAACAATCGAAAATATCGCATTATACTGGTAAATTACCACTACTGTCAATGTCATTTATGCATACATCATAACCTAAAATTTTATTTTCTATTTGAAATTAGTGAATAATCAAACTTTCAATAAATTACCTGAAAATTAGCCAAAATCTCGTCCCGGATTCCAGCCATTGTGTTGTCGTTTACTGTCAAACTGGAGAAAATACGCGAACCACGGAGCCTATTTCGTCACTTTTTAATCGTTACAAGTAACATGCACAATGAATGTAAGCCATTGACGTCTTAAACCTCACGCTAACTTGAAACGAACATTGAACCATCTATATAGTGTTTATATATTTTCCCTTGCAGCATCAAACAATTGTTCGTATATCGGACGATACCAGGCAGATATTTTCGCTCCCTGAATAAAGTTTTTTGATATGCACGACAATTTATGATTGGTAGAAATTGAAATCGTTACAAGTATTCTCCAATCATATTTTAAGAACAAATGACATACGTACAATATTTCTTTATATTGATAATAACGTAAATTAAACGTTTGACACTCTATACATCTTTGATCATTATAATTAGTTACTAGTATTGCAGTAAACTTTACTTATAAATATTTATATGCCATAGTAATAATAATGACTGATTTCTATATACCGTTGTATTTTACATAACATTTAAATTTTATTCTATTTCTTGTGAATAATGAATTGACTATAATATGAAAAACCAATTATTAATATCCGAAAATTTGTATAACTTTTATTGAGCAATTAAAAACGTTAATATAAAACACTGTATTTAAATAGAAAGAATTGACTACTAAATTTGAAATTATAACATTATGTGCGTACATACGCAAATGAGATACAGGCTTTATTACATCGCATGAAAAATGGAACTTTAATACCGTGACCGTAACAGAAATGAGTTCTGTTCCGTCCACGTGAGATCAGTCGTAAATTTACAGTAGTTGTTTCCATTGTCAAAAAGTTTTGTTGCGTGCATCGTAGCTGCGCGCGTGGCCGATCGAGGAAGAAGACTTTTGTGCCTTCCACGCCGGGCACTGCCACTCTATCATGATCAAATTATTCTCGTTAAAACAGGCGAAAAAGGATGGCGAGTCTCCGAAAACTGGCACCCAAAAAAAGGCATCTGCAGCACAACTGAGAATCACAAAAGGTTTATTGACGGCCACTCATTGTCTTCTTTATAATTTCTATTTTATTTAATAACTATGATCCTTATTTAATGCACGGAGAATGGAATCTATTGATTGGAAGACAAGTATTAAAAGTTTTGTGAGGTTTTCATGTTTCGTTAGGTTTCACACTTTGACAGTTAATGTTTCTTCATTTTTATCAATATCATTATATGTATATGTTATGTTTAGTTTTTTTCTATCATTATTTGATATAAAACATAATACAATATTTACATTTTGATTCATTTTGAAATTTTGCTCCAATATTTTTACTTGTATATAAGTATTTTAAGAATGCTTTATAAAATGTTATTTATAACATTCTAACAAATATCATAAACATTTAAAAACAAGAATAAGCTTGAAAAGGAATCTATTTACATAAAAATTGAAGTTAAAA